CGCTCTAACGGTTAGTAATAGCATGACTGGAAGAGCGAGACATTCCTATTCATCCACCAATGCACGTTTCTATTCCAGTGCATTTGAATCGATAGTCCTAATGTCCACATTTGCGGTGAGTTTAGTAATTTATTTGGCAAGGATGAATAAATCCATACCCCCTATCATAATTTATCTAGAGCAATCACAATTATCATGGTAGTGGTTCGTTGACGAAGTACGTACAGCCCTCTAAGAATTAATTCCCAAGTTTGACTTTTGTGGCGCACAACATTCAGGCCAATACAAAATTCAATTGTATCCCATTAATATGTGGAGTCACGTGCATGTTTTCCGAAGGGCTATTAAGGATATGACTACAAGTGTGATTGGATCACCATTATCTATAACGCATTTGGCTTTGGCCACAGCAAAACGAACATATTGCTCAGGTAATTCTCTAATAATTTGGCATAACCCTAAATGGATGTAATATTCAGTAAATTTGATTCTCCTGAATAAGTAGGATACATAATGGATAGAGATTCGATATTTGTTGGACGGCTAGTCCAGCTATTTCGAATATCGACTTGGGTATATTTGAGCTTGTGCTGGAAAAACAATCCGCTAGAGCCGAAAAAGTGGGACTGTGTACACATTAATGTGTGGTTGCGTACCTAAGCGTTTTGGGATAATACAATATAACAAGCAAAGCAGCCGATGTGTTGAGGTACTGCTTCTAACAACACGACCTCGGACGCTCCTGGCAATACCTACTCTACGCCGTCAGTATTCCTGTCCGAAGCATGCGCTGATGAAGCTGGATTACCAGCAACAGAGAACCAAAGATGAGTTGGCGCCGCGTAAAGAGCTATCGTAGGTGACGTATGCATGTGATTCAACTGACACCGCTTTTATTGCAGGTAAGGCGAGTTAGATCGTTTGCGGTCGCCTTTTGGAAGCTATTCGTGCTACTGTGTCAGACTCAAAGCTAGACGAGTTTCTTGGATCGTTTGGTAATGTAAGTTTTTGTTGTTAAAAAGGAATAATATTCTTTGTACTTAATTACTATACAGGTGACGTATTTCTGCGGCGAAGGATATTTACGACGGTGGACCATTGGAGTTGCTCTTTTCGTCGAGTGTAGTTTCGTTGTGTTCGATCTCCTAGTGGAAGCTGGTCCATGGCTGCGGTCAGCATTTGACGGGCCTGGTTAATCGATGGATTCGTTGTGTAAGTGTTTGTTTGGCGAGCAATGTTTTCGATTTCATCATGACGAATCAAAAATCTGATAATCGTTTCCGTGCGTTTTTATTCGGTAGGTCAATTGGAGAAAGCGAACGGTACGGCGGCCAGTTTTTACTTGGACAGCCAAACCACCAATACTCCCAAGCCACTCTAAGCGATACCTTCGGGAACGTAAACCCATTCAGTGACCAGTGTGCATGTGGGAATAATGGTGGGTGCTGTTCAACTTCGTTTTGCGCGTGTTGCTCTACGGGGTTATCCGGGTGTCTAATCAACTCTGGTGTCTCGTTCAAATTGTCGATGTGATGTTGTAGCGCTGTCACTGTAGGAGCACTGCCGTGCTGTTGTACTCCTTGAGTAAGTGCAGTTGCGTTGGCATGAATTGTGCGCACCATCTGAGTGAGCTAAGCTAAATCTAACGCAGCAGCAACGGCTCGAGCGACTACGTTATTAATCGCGTTCTGGGAAGGTAATGTATCCATTTCCCGATTACATAAAGCTACAGTGCCTTCACGTGGGCCAATTCTTCAACCTTTTTATCATTTATTATATGATTACATAAAGCTACAGTGACTTCACGTGGGCCAATTCTTCAACCTTTTTATCCAAATTTGCAATCTTTTCGTGCAGGCTGAGAATACTGGCGTCCACGTTATCCAATAGATTTTCCATATTCCAAGGTGAGATGGCACTCCACTGGCTCGGCCTGTACCGCCAGGGCGACAAACTACATTGCGCTTTAGAAAATGCAGCAAAGTAGGGTCACGAAACATAGGAGAAGAGAATAGCATGTGGGTTTTCCGCAAATACATTAAAAAATCATTCAAAATCTTCTGCTATGACCTGCACTAGTTGCAAAGGTGGTTGAGTACGTTCCTATAGTAAAAATCGCTTAACGCAAAGGTATTTCTCTTTTAGCACCAGCGATTCGTCCTCTCCACCAACGCCATTTAAGAGATTCCAGAACAGAGGTGTGACTGCCTCAGGCTGGTTGGCATGAAGCCATACAATAAACTTCACGATTCCGTACGCGTACTCCTCCTTTGACTTCTTGTTCACAACATTTCCTCTGATTTCTTCAACTTCATCAACGAGGCGGTCCATACTTCTTTACTACAGTTGAACCGTACTTAGCGTGTGAACAAGAAGTAGGTTGTCGCCCTGGCGGTGCAGTCCGAGCCAGTGGAGTGCCATCTCACCTTGGAATATGGAAAATCTATTGGATAAC